ACAAAAAAACATTTATAATTTTTCCGAAGTATTCTTCACCACAGTCAATACATTTTTGCATTCGCGAAAACCATTCCTGAAAATTCTTTCTCCAATCTTCTGGCCGTAGTTTATTTTATTTTTAAAGGTATCAACGGCTTCTTCAGCCGATGAAAAACGTAAAACCTGTAATTTATACTTTATTCGCGGAAATAAGAAGTCATTAGGTGGTAGGTTTGGACTATACGGCGAATGACCCATTATTTCTATGTTTTGGGCATTCAAATATTCATTTGTTAGAGCGTTATCTTGGACGTTTTTCGCGAACCTTTTGGAGAACCTGAGGCAAAAAAAAACTATAGTGTACCATTCTGAATTAACAATATGATTATCTTCCAGTGCTACAGTGAAAACATACAACAGGGACAAATCGCTGATTAAACAACGGACCAATAAACGGACTGACATGCGCACTGATTAGTTTACGAATACATCCATGCATAAGTCAGAGACACATCAGAAAGGAGCTGTTGGAACAAACCTTTAAATTGTATTTCTTTAGCCGTAACGTGAATTAATAAATAGTTTTTATGATTATGGGTGGGGTTTTTCCGGGATGCCCTCATCTATAATTCAAATGACCTCTGTAAGGTGCCTCGGAGCGCCATTGAAAATAATAATAGTCGTCCCTCCCCGACACAAACAACTCTACTTTCAGATCTGCAGGGTTTACTCTTAATGGGGTAAATTATAAAAATATTATTATTTATTATTATTAGGCTAAAGAAAGAATGAGCTAAGAAAAGAAGCTTTCTGTTTGAATTCCCTGAAAATCATTGTGGAGAACTTTTTCAGCTGAACGAAGAGTACCTACCTATGTTTATATTTTGTAGAATATTGTATTATGGTTTTGTATAATAAATAATCCCTTTATTGATGTTTTAAGAATATAAATGGTCTTTGTTGCAGGATAAGTTATCCGGAAAAGACATTGCCAGACATATGCCCTGGAAACTAAATTCTTTATTTCCTAAAATTTTAAGACACGGGCTTATTATTCAACCTCATTGACAGGTCATACCTAATCTCCCAAATAATCCAGGAGTAGGATTCCGTTTTGTGTCGAGTAAATCGATTACAATACGATTCATAATTCGATCGAATTATGAAAAGCGATTCTATAACTCTTCTATAATTCAATCTTCGGAAATTCGACAGAATAATGGGGCATTCGACCTACTCTGACTTTTAAACGTCAAACAACCAAAAATTAAACTGTATTTGTTTCGCCATAACGTCAATTATTTATTTATTTTTTATGGTGATGGGTGGGATTTTTCCTGTGTTTCCTCACCTATAAGTTAAATGACACCCTCTATGAGTTGCCTCGGAGCACCATGGCAAATAATAATAATAGTCGTCGCTTCCCGACCTAAGTTCTGCTTTCAGAATTGCAGGCGTCACTTGTAATGGGGTACATTATAAAAAGATTACTATTTAATATTATTGACCTTTGTGCTAAAGAAAGGATGAGTTAGGAGAAAGAAGCGATCATGTCGAATTCTCTGAAAATCGCTGTGGATAGCTTTTTCGGCTAAATTAAGAGTACTAACCTATGTTTATATTTTCTAGCAATTATATTAAATAATAAAATCCTTTTAGTGATATTCTAAGAAAATAATAGATAAAATGTGGCCTTTGATGCAGGAGAGGCTGTTCAGAAAAGGCATTGCTTCGGAATCTAATTTCTTTTCAGCCCCACGGTTTTGCGCCACAGGCTCATTATTGAACTTCATTGACAGGTGCACACTTAATTTTAAAAAATTCAACTTTAACGATTTGATATTGAATCGACTACTCTAAAGATGTCGAGTTATTTGATTTTGATTATTGTCGTATTTAGTTGAACGGAATTGCTATTATGAAGCTTGATATTAAATTCAAGTCAAATCATGAAACAGAATCCCACCCCAACTTTAACGATTTGATATCGAATCGACTACTCTAGAGATGTCAAGTTTAATAATCACATACTTTGATTACTATACGGTGCAAGAGAGAGGTCCGACACGCCCAACATAGGGCGTGGCCATTTTGATTCCTATGCCACAGTTTATAGCTAAATAATCAGATCGCTCACTCTGCGTCGGCACTTTTGATCTCAATGTTCCAGTTTATATACTGCGTAACTCGGATAATACAATATATGACAACCGCCTATAATAAAACAGCAGTCTTCTGTGTATCCTGAATTTATTGTATCCCTGGAGTGGATGTTATTTTGGAACTTTCGACTGGGCCGAGTGAGCTAACTGATTCTTTAGCAATAAACTGTTACTTCAAAAATAATATTCACTGACACTAACAGCAGCAAGCAAAATATCAGGTGCGTTTTAATCATCCTTCTGCTTCCGGAATTGTCGGTTTAGTCGTTTTAACCTGTCAGATTAAAACAAGAAAACCGACAATTCCGAAGCAGAAGCGGATGATTAAAACGCACCTATTAAAAATATTGCGCCAAGATGTAGGCAACACGTAATAAGGGATCAAAATCTCGGAGTTTTCTATCTACTTTTAAAAGGCACTCAGAAAGCTGCGCAGTGCGACCATTCTCCGTATAGTAAAAGAAAATCAAAGTATGTGTTAATAATCGAGTTTATTGTTGAATTTCGTTGAACATAATTGCTTTTATGGAGTTTGATATCAAATTCGAGTCGAATAGTGAAACAAAATCCCACCCCTGATTTCCTCAAAACGTTCTTTACGTTTTAAGCCTCATTTGAAATTGTAAAAAAATCACAGTCCGATAATGCTCTTTGTCCGCACAACGCCCCAAAGAGACTAGCTCGTTTTCGCATCTTATCAAGAGAGCGTTGGACATCAGAGGACCAGTTGAGTGTACAAGAGAATCGTACTCCCAAATAGTCAACTTCGATCTGTTGAGCGAGCCTAACTCCCAGGAGATTTATATTGACGAGTTGGGGGTTCTGAGAGGTTCTTAGCTCCGAGTGTGGTATTTATATGCGTATCTGCGCGCTCTTTTTGGCGGTACTGACATTAAGCGACCTACTAGCAACATCAAGACATTACTCGACCAGACTACACTTAGAGGTTACAGAAATACACAAACATGAAAAGAACTTCAATAGAAAGGAAGAAAAAACAACAGTACCTAGGAACTGACACACATTATTAAAAAGAGCGAAAATAAATCCGCCTAATACCAGTACCACCAAAAAGGAGCGCGCGCACACGCTTATAAATACCACACTCGGAGGATTCAGTTTCAGTTGATACGCCCAGAAGATGGCTGCCGTAGTTACAGCTGAAACGGTTAGTAGTAATAACACAGAAAGACCATGGCATAACAGCCAGAAAACAAACAATTACATACCTAAAATGTGTTGCAAAAATATCATCGTGTACTAGATAACTTGGTTATGGTGTGTAAAAATCGGTTACCCGGTTTTGGAGGCAAAAAATAACAGATTTTAACCAGTTCAGTGATTTTCAACAGTTAACCGAAGAGAAAACAGCGGTTTTTCGGTTTTAACCAATGAGGTTGAATTGTATGGAGATGACACGAAAAAAAAAGCGACACCCCTTCCCCCTCCCTTAGAAACAATATTATAGTTGTCAAAGAGCTGTCAAAACTTTTTTAAAATTTAAATATTTCAGCATTAATTCTGTCCTAGTCAATCTTTTTATTATTTTGCGTAAAAATCATGAACAAAAGTCTGATTTATGTTTTCACAAGTAAGTTTAAGGACTGTACTTAGTATTTTTCATAATTCCCAATTTCTTGCAAATTTACTCAGAGGTGAAAAGACAGACCCTAAATTTAACTATATAATAATACTCAAATAGCTTACTTTAACTTTATAAAACAATTAAATGATAAATATAGAGCGTACTAATCATATTTCAACTATCATTATATAATTCGAACAATAATATTTGACTGTAAGTTAATATTATCTGTACCGTTTAAAGTACATCTTCTCATATATATATCTGAATAATGTTTAAGTTATTGACATTATAGGGCAAATTATTGAAAATTCCATTGTGGAAAAAATTAATTAGTGGTAACTGCAGAAACAGAGAAGTCTTCTCTGCCTCAGTTTAGATAGTTATGTACCTCTCTTATATTAGTATATCATATCTAGTGTTTATTAATAAATGTTCAGGAACTAATTTGTGTTTTAATTTATTATACAAGAGTCATTGTATTTATAAATAAAATTAGTTTATCACTCAATATATTTATGTTGCTTGTAACATGGTTTCAATATAGTTGTATAACGATTACATCCTATAATACAAGGCAAGGCATGATTCTGCTTTTTTGAAGTACACTTTTTTCAATCGTGTTCAATAAATATAGATGAACAGTAGTTTAAATGCAAGATAATCGATTTTAAAATTTTTAATTTTGACTATTCTTTATAAGGTATGCACTCATTATTTTCTTTATATTTATCAGTAACATATTCTACATGTTTAGAAAATCCATCAGAAGATGTAATACAAATTTGATTTAAAGTGTGAAAAATTATTAAAAACTATAAAAGTTGTTTTAAAATAATTCATAAAATCTAATGTTTTCCGAATAGCATGCAGCACGCAGTTAATAAATATATATTAGTATCTAACTAACGTATCTCACTAAACCTAGAGATAGTGAATATAGAACAAGTCATGTCTTGTGTGGTCTTAGCAATATTTATCTAATCTAATTCAGACGCAATAAACTGGATTAATTTCGGATTGGACATGTTGAAACAAATCTTAGGTATATAACTCATTTAAAAGTTGTAATTCTGCACAGGTGACTTTAATTAGAAATAAATACGACCCTGCTTAGACTAACATTCAAGCCACGCCCAGTGGGGTCATTTTTAATAAGGCATATCTTATGGGAAACAATTGCCTCATGGCATCTGCATTAGAATTATACCTCCATGGTTTTAACCACCGTTTATTGACATTCCTAGATTCCCTGTTTTAGAAATTTTCTTGTCTCTGTTTTATCATTTGAAATTTTCTAATTCGAACTTTTCTCAACTCAGATACTGAAATCCTTATAAGTAAACATATTATTTATTAGTCATAAAATAAAAAGAAGATATTTTTAATGAGGTTATGTTATTGTCAATTAAAATTAAAAATTATTAAATTCTTATAAACCAGTCAAATCAACATGAGTTTAAACATCAAACCCAACGATTTAAAACATTTTATAATGTATGAAAAAAAACCCGTTATTCTAAAAAACATACTGAAATGGAATATGTTAAATTGGACTTTAGAGGATTGGAAATCAGTGCTTCAAAACGAAAACTTACAATTTAGATATGGTTTTAATCAACCAACAGAAGAACCCCAGTGGGAACGCAAAACTAATACACGCGACGGCGACTTTAATTACTTTTTAACACAAACTCAAAATAATGAGGGGTGGTTATATTTTGATTATAAACAGTTAAACACCTGGTTTAAAAATAATGAAAAACTTAGACGAGAAATCGACTGGAGTCCTCTGGGCTTCCCGAATATCAAACCCGAAGATTGCACAATTTGGATAGGTTCAAAAGGAGCACACACTCCATGTCACAGGG